TCACCTTAGTATGCATTTGTCATGGGCTGCAGGATTTCATGAAAAACTGTCTTCGCTATATTCTAGAGATCGGATAACCAGACAGAAGGAATTATCCACATAAAGCTCTGGCACGAAGCGAAGCAATCGAAAACGAGTAGTTCAACAAATTTGTTAAACGATTTAGTCATGGACTGGAAATATGCTGAAGAGATCGTAAAGTAGCGTGAGACATTATTTCCTGCAGTGATACCCAAATAGATAAGCGAAAATTTAGGCGAATATCTGAGCTTGACATGCAGAAAATCATATAAAAGTGGAAATTTAGACCTGTGGGCTATTTTTGAAGCTCACCTAATCGATACGCAGAGATGAGTTCTCAGTTGTTTTCCGGAAAAGCTTTATACATCGCTCCTTGCTCAAGCAACGACAAAAGTAGAAAAAGATTATAAGAATCGTAAATCTGTGTATTATCACTAAGATCTAAAGGAATTTATCGGGTTGAACTATCTAGCTATTTGTAACTGTAATTTCGAAATAATATTCTGATATATATTTATATCTGTCAATTACATAATGTCTTCAACTCGGTGTATAATATTGAAAATGAGTTCACGAAAATTCCTCACATCTTTTTTGTCTCAGTAATTAAGACTGTCGAAAACAGAAATGAGAAAAAATACACACCACCCTGAAACTAGTTTAAGGATTTCACAGATAATTCGGTATATCATGTGACTAGTGTAGGCGAAAAGATATAACTGAAGTCTCTTCGTGATAAATTTTTAAAACTGTTTGAATCTCTGCAAATTGATTCTTGAAAAGTATACTGGTGATTCACTAAAGAATGCATTTGTCTGAAATACTAGTGAGAAGTCACGACAATCATGGTCAACAAAAGGCAATTTCTTCATTTGCTACTAATAAGCAAAAGTTTGTATTTATGGACTGTTCATAGGATTTCGTCTCACTGGTTAAATGGTCTACTAGCTTGCCTTGCAACATGGGTGCGCTTTGTCGGCTGAAAGTCAAGGGTGTGTCTTGCTGAACAGTCACGAACAATGAAGGAAACAGCTATCCACTCGTACCTAGTTTCCGAAGGTTCTCTAACTACTATCAATCTGAGATAGAAACTCGAAATGAATCAGATACTTACAGAGACAGTCTTGAAAATATCCTAAAGGTGATACAGTTGATCAGAAATATGTGAGCGGGTAACAATTTATCCCGAAGAAATTGTTCGTTTTTACTAAAATTTCAGTGAAAAGTGCTATAAATGCTGATTTCGAACTCATGCAGCGAGGTGAAGGCTTGAAGCGAATTGTCATCTGAAGTGGTGACGACTTGTGGTGTTCGTCAGTGATGCGCGGTATCCTCATTTCTGTTCCATTTCATCATAGAATTTAACCCTTACTCAATTCAGAGATTCAAGAATTGACCTGCCACCAGGGAATAATCTCATTGACTTAGAATATGCGCATGATATAGTCTTTCTAGGCGACGACACTGACAAAATCCAGCAGAGTTTTCTGAACACCTTGAGCTGCAAAATACTAATGTTTAGCATGCAATTTGCCCCCACCACATGTAGGATGATGTTACACAACTGACTCCTAGCTTAGAAATAGAAGGTGAAGTGGTTGAGCACGTTGACCGGCTATCGAGCAAAGGGCGGATGTACTGCTCATCAGTCCGCTCCGTCCTCCTTTATGGCTCTGAGATCTGGCCCTTGAAAGCGGAAGACATGAAAAGATTAGCTGTCTTTGATCATAGGTGCCTGTGTTCTATCTACCGTGTGAAGCTTTACACAAAGATGAGCAATAATGAGGTTAGGCATCAGTCGAGTGCTAGTTAAGGAGGAGAAATCAACCGACGAGCCTGGGAAGTTACACCGACTGAGATGGTAAAACACGTGTTACGTATGCCTAGACATCGCCTTCATCGACCGACGGGCAATGTTAGCTGACATAGAATCAGGTTAGAAAAGAGCTGGAGGCAGACAAACCAAAAAATGTTTGTGATTTTTTTGGATTACAGCTTTATCCTGCACTACATTTTTGGTACAAGTATGAAATTTTCAGCATGTGATATCGGTAGCCCAAATTTGCAGGCGACCATAGATTTCAGGTGTGCGTCGGTGAGGGGTCGAACCCCGGACCATGTGCATGGTCGGCGAGAGTGCTAACGGCTAAGCCACCGACGCATATGTCATCAGTCTATGAAATCTATAGCAGTTGGTTTAAGCCACTTAAGAAGGTGTAGACTTCTTGATCGGGGTCCTCAGGACGATAAAACCCAGTGGCTGAAGACAATCGGTTATATGGGTCAAACTAATCGTTCTCAATGATGGCGCAGATGCATCCACTCCTTGTGACTTATAATTTCCAATTAAACTCTCTTGTCTTCCGTTATTACTATTCCTTCGTCTCACACCTCTGTTTAGTGTCTCTTCTTTCCATTTCTTCTACTTTCTTTTCTTGCTTTGTACGCTCCATGGAGTGTGGCGAATTTAACTACTGCACATCTGTGTAGAGATTTATTTCGAAAACAGACAGAAAGAGAAATGTTGATTGCAATTATTCGTCACGGAGTATTTCCTCATAATTGGCAACTAGTAAGCAGTGTTCTATTAGTGTTTTGTGGGCGCTATATGTCAGACAAACTTAACTGGTCTCCTAACTATGCGATTTGATTAGTCACCCGTATACGAAATCACCCGTATGCATCAGACATATACCTCTCGGAATTACGTTTTTCAATTTTGTTTATATCAAACAGATATATGATCACCGAATTTCATTATTTCAACTCGTTCGAGTAAAACAAGGAGTTAAATCTGGCATTATTCACTTTCCCACATGTTTGAGATAAAATTTCTTAGTGACATTTTATTATTACGTTGATTTCAGTTTGTAATATAAGGCTTCTAAGGGAGATTTCCACTTCATTTTGTCCCCTGAAATCAATTGCAGCAGACAGCACAACTGCTGATAGAATTCCATTTCCTTCTCATACGGTCTCCTACATCTAACTGTTACCATGATGTGTAACTTGTCGTTTCCGAATAGGGTTCCATTTGAAACCTAATGCGAGATATCCCTCATTGGTCTCCCCAGCGTGTGGATGACTCATCCATAATTCCTTGGGAATGTATCTCGTGATTAATGTGCTAAATCTTCTAAGAAAATAGAAGCAATGAGTGATTTAACTTCACCGTTGATAATCCAAATCGTCTTCTATTTTTATTTTACTTTTGATAACAGCTTGATTCCACACTATATTTCTGGTACAAGTATGGAATTTTCAGCATGAATATCGGTAGCCCAAATTTTGCAGGCCGACCATAGATTTCAGGCGTGCGTCGGCAGGGGATCGAACCTCGGACCATTTGCATGGTCAGCGAGAGTCCTAAACACTGTGCCACCCTTCTCTATCACCCTCTCTATTCCCACCTCTTTCCTTGTATCTCATCAGGCAGAACCAGAAATCAGTATAAAATAATATATGCTCGTAAAACCAAGTATAGGAGCTCAACGATGAACGTTCTTGGTCACAGAGATAGTGTTAAGCGCGAAACCTATGACTTGCTTTGGTGTCCATTACATCATTTAGTCTCTTTTATTTCTCTCTTATTTGTATTCTGTAGTGAACACACTCTTAAACATATTTAACCGCCTAAATTATTAACATTGGCTTATCTTTTTTGTACTTTACTCTATTCCCTCTTTGTGTATCTACTGGTTCCGACTATACTAGCACTATGAGTATTGCAAAATTGTCGTATCATTAACCATCATGTAATATTAGTTTTCTAGTTGCTTTCTTTGTTCGACAATATTAACGGACAATCTTGAATGTGAACGCCGTTATCACCATCCTAAAATGTTTGTATTATGCGGGATTACTCACACTACCACTACCTTGGCGGCCTGTTTGACATCTGGGCTACCTTTTCCTGCATCTACATATTGCATCTAATAAGTCATGTTTTCATTCCTAATTTTAATAAAATATGATCACAAATCGCATAAAATACAGTAATTCATTCATTAAACGTTTTAAACCATATGACTTTCATGCATCTAATAAATCTAAGAGAAAACATCACGCTGGCTGGCAGCGTGCACTTAAACAGACACCTTTATATCGTACAACCATTCCTGTTATTGTCACTTCAAACTGCCGTTCACTTCCCAACAAAATTATGCATCTCCAGTCTCTCTTATCATCTGATACTTATCACAATACGGCGATTGTTGCATTACAAGAAACATGGCTCCATGAACTCTATGATGACAATCTGGTTTCCCTAAATGGTTTTACATTGTTTAGACAAGATCGACTATGCTCCAGAAAGAAAAGAGGTGGAGGTGTTGCAACTTTCATTCATTCTCAATGGTCAACTTCAAATAATGTATGTTTTTCTTACTCTAATGACTTTATTGATTGTATAACGGTCAAATGCCGCCCGAAACACTTATCCAAGTTTAAATACGTCTTCATCTCTAACATTTATGTTACTCCTGGCTGTTCTGCATCTGATCTATCTGATTTTGCTGATGAATTCACTGAATTCGCCGTTACACATCTTGAAAACTCTTTATCAGTTGTCACAGGAGATTTTAACTGCTGTGATTGTTCTTTCCTCGTATCATTAGGTCATGCCAATATTGTTAAATTCCCTACTCGACTTGATAAAACTTGACCTAGTGTTCATTAATGATGAGGAAATATATGAAGTACGCCGACGTGCTCCTATCATGAACTCAGATCATTGTATTATTCGGATATTACCTAAGATATACAGCAGATCTCACTTTAATATCTTCTCAAATCTGTCCAAGAAAACACAGCAAAGGTGTTACTCACAAGAAAATATGCTCAAACTAAGATGTATGCTAAATGACACTAACTGGGAACTTTTCAACGAACACAAACTGGATGATACTATTTCCAATTTGACTGACTATCTTAAATTCTGTCTTGATATATGCTGTCCAAAACAGATAATTTTCAAAAGAATGGATCGTTTTTCTTCCCCTCATCTCAAAAAACTTCGTAGAGAAAAAGAGAAGCTGTACAAGACAAAGAATAAATCTGGTCTTAAGAAGATAAACACCCAAATTAAATCTGAAATCAAGAGACTAAACAACATTTATAATCAAACAATACTATCTTGTAAAACCTCAGAAAACATATGGAAGCTTTTTAGAGAAATTACTGGTTGTGGTAAGCATAATAATTTTGCCTCTTCTATTGATGTAAATACTCTCAATAGATCTTTCATCCGCCCTCCAAATGTCCTTTCTGCCTTCAATTTAACTAATAACACGACCAGTGACTTTCATCGTTTCAATACTTCTGATGTTCTTAAATGTTTGAAATCTCTTAAACCTTCCCAGAGTCTAGGCCCTGATGGTATACCTGCCATTGTTTTAAAGAAATGTGCTGATATTTTAAGTAACCCACTTACAAGCATTTTCAATACTTCTTTTTCTAATAATAATGTACCTTCTCTGTGGAAAGATATTAAAATCATCCCTGTACCCAAGTCTGGTTCTGGAGATAGTGTTAAGTTTAGACCAATTGCCATTACCTCTCCTTTTTGAAACTGATGGAGAAATTACTGTTACAAAAACTCATTCCCTCCCTAAGCTTCTCAAATGATCCAAAGCAGTTTGCTTACAAACAGGGTAGAAGTACTTTGGATGCTGCTGCTGTGTTTCATCACAACATTGTATCCTCCTTAGACAAAGGGGCCAAGTATGTCCGTTGTACTTTCCTTGATTACACATCTGCTTTTGACTCTGTACCTAGAGGCCTTTTGTTAAACAAGCTTAGCCTTACACAAACTGAGTCCTGGGCTATCAACTGGCTGCACTCTTACTTCTCCAATAGGATGCAGTACACGGTATATAATGGTGTAGCTTCCTCTCCTTTGCTTACTGAAGCTGGTGTTCCTCAGGGTGCTGTTCTCTCGCCGTTTCTCTTTTCCTTCTTCTTACATGACTTACCTCTCTCAGACGAAATCAACTTCGTCAAATATGCAGATGACCTGACTGTTTCGCTTCCCGTTAAGTCTCAGTCAGACTGCTTCAAATTAAATAGCTTCCTGTCGGACATCAGTCAGTGGTCTAAACTAAATGGCCTAACGCTGAATCCCTCAAAATGCCAGACTGTCGACTTCTCCTTTAGGCATAAACGAGATCTACAAACACTAGTAAGCACTCATGATGTCTGTAGAATTGAGGGGACTATAATTGAAACAAAGTCTAATGCAAAATACCTCGGATTAGTTATATCTTCCGACCTTACTTGGTCATCTCATATCCAAATGATTTCCAAGAAAGTGTTTCGTCTAACCTACTACATTAAGAAACTCAGACTAACTGGAGTCCCTCAACCTCTGCTTTCACAATTTGTCAACTCTCGTATCCTACCTATTCTACTTTACTGTTCCCCGTTAGTCTTTCCTGGGTTACTGAAAAAGGATTATACCATCCTGAGAAGGATGTTGAAGGTAGTTAGTAGGACTAGCGGTGTAAAACTCAGTCAGCTCGTCACAACATTAGTGGATAAGCATCTGAATACATGTGAGAAATGGTCTAAAACCATACTCTCTGACCCCAACACCCCCTCTATTCCCAACTCTCTCCTTGCATCTCATCAGGTAGAACCAGAAATCAGTACAAAATAATATATGCTCGTACAACCAAGTATAGGAACTCAACGATACCATATTTGGCCCGTGTTCTAAGTGACAGAGACAATGTTAAGCGTGAAACCTATGACTTGCTTTGTTGTTAATAACATAATTTTGGCCCTTGTTATTTCCCCCTTACACTCTCTTATTTGTACTCTATAGTGAACAACCTTCTTAAACATACTTAGCTGCTTAAAATTATTATCATTGGCTTACTTTTTTTACTTTACTCTATTCCTTCTTTTGTATATCTACTGGGTCCGACTATATTATCACTATGATTATTAAAAATTGTCCCGTCATTAACCATCATGTAACATTAGTTTTGTGGTTGTTCTTTGTTCGGCACTATTTAACTGACAATCTTGTTTGTTATTGCCACTATCACCATCTTAAAAATTTTGTATTATGCATGATTCCTCACACTACCACTAAAAACACTGCATTAGTGCTGACAATAAAAAAAAAACCCTGAAATGTTTATTTTATGATTGTTTAGTGTTGTTCAATCAAATTAACTGATCATCTTGGCTATAAACATTTTAAGAACATCTCATAATTTCTTGTATGATTATAGCTGTTACTGTTCACCACGCATACACATATCATAGCTTCCACTACCCAATACTGAAATATTTTTTTCATTATTTGTGTTTATCTTCCTTTCTACTTGGTATTTTTTATTTGCATTTTTTCTTTTCTTTTGTTTTTTTTGTTATTTCTGGTTTCGTTTTTTGGTTTATTTTTGTCGTGTTTTTTTTTATATTTATTTTTTTTAATACTCCTTTTTAATGTACGATGAAATTAGATGCAATATTGTAGATATGTGCTGAAAATTCCACACTGTACCGCAAGTACAGTTTCTGGAATTAAGCGAATTTGTTATAGTTATTAATAAAAACACCGCATCAGGCTTGACAATAAAAACCCTGAAATGTTCATTTTATAATTGTTTAGTGTTGTTCAGTCAAACTAACTGATCGTCTTGGCTATAAACATTCTTAAATATCATTTCATAACTTCTTGTATGATTAAAGCTGTCACTGTTCACCACGCATACACATATCATAGCTTCAACCACCCAATACTGAGATATTATTCATTATTGGTGTTTATTTTCCATTCTAATTCTTGGTATTTTTCCGCATTTTGTATTACTTTTCGTGTTTTTGTTGTTGTTGTCTTTACATATTTTTTTGAAATACTCCTTCTAAATGTTTGATAAAATAAGATGCAATATTTTAGATATGTGCTGAAAATTCCACACTGTACCACTGGTACTGTTTCTGGAATAAAGCAAAATTATTATTATTATTAATATTGTAGATATCACATTATTGAATGCGCCTATTGTCTTTAAATCCAATGATTGACCTATAAGTAGTTAGTTGACAGTTGTATTTTGTATCTGTGTAGTCATTCTTCAAAACAACAAAACGGTTAATGTTATACAGCAAAGCGCCTCCAATTCATTGAAAATTAAACGTGTACATGACTTTCAGGAAATTAACATGATCCGTCTACACGCATGTGTAATCTATACAATAAATCAGTGGATTGAGGAAATGTAATTTATTAGCAATTCATGTTTTTTCTTTGTATCCTGTCGTGTAGAAAGCAAATACAACTCCAGTCATATGGCTTCAAATACCACCGGATACTAATTAATATCTCAATGAAATAAAATTTTACAATGTGTACATGCCTTCAAACCTGTTTTGGACTATCTCAATGCAAACGTCTGTGAATGTAAGCAACAATGTAAAACTAAGGAGCGCATGTTTGTTTATCCACAGACATTGAACACGAATCAGTTAATTTACATGAGTGAAATTTCTTCATAGTGAATAGCAAATATTATTTCATAATTATATTGATAAGTTTTAAAAGAAATACGGCATAAGAGGTACATGATTAAAATGCTTGCCAACTAAGCTGTAAGTGATCCCCGGTTCAATTCTAGGCTGTCAATGCATTACTCGTAAATTTCAACTAGTTAATTAGAAGAGCGTTGCCTTGTATTAGACGGAATTTTAGACTTACGATCAGTGGCTTCATTCAGTGAAAACGGCAGCACCATCACTACGCAAACATCATATCTAAAAGATTGAAGTCGAATCGCAAATTGCAAGCAGTGGAAGAAGAATTTGTCAGAACAGAAACAACTTAAAAGTGACGTCATGAAAAACTATTATTACTCTACAATCGTGAAAATGCTGGCTGGAGTTAAACAATTTTGAAATTAGTGGAGAGTTACTCAACTCGAACGGCTTTATCTAGATTCACCCCACAGCGGTCAAGTAGACCACTCACTGGAACCTGTGTTCTGAGAGGCGGTTTGAATAAACCGTATACTATTAACAAAACTTAATTCTTGCATTCAAATAGGATAAAGGACGACGGACTGTGGCAACGAAATAGCCGAAAATACATTGTTCTGTGAATATTCGCTAAGAGATGTGGATGAATAGTACACTTAGTGTGTCACATTTAAATGATATGACAGGCTAGTTAGATGGTTAAATAGAATCCAACTGGGGGGCGAGCTGGGGATCGGCCGTTGCCTTGAATAAGTCATGGAGTATTTCAATGAAAGAGTAAACGAGTGCCTTTGAACAGTCATACTTTCGATTGAAAATGATTACAGAATACATTGAAGAAACTGGACCATGGTATGATGAAGTTTATCTCCACGATGCCAAATTTATCAAAGATGTTGCCCTTAATATTATTTTAGGGGTTATTGATTCGCTTTGTGTTGCTCAAATCTTGCACAGATGAAAACTCTTCGGCAAGATTATAAGAGTACCGCATATGAGAACTCTGTCCAGTCTCGTTCTTTTCGGCTGTTTAATTTATGTTGAGATATATTTCTGACACAAATGTTTCTTCGTTGAAGAAAGCCAAATTAACATCGAACCTAATTAACAGTGACTCATTTTCGATGTGATTATGGAGTCCTACATAACTAAAGTATTTTGCTGAAATTGTGGTATCCCACTTAAACCACTGGTCTCACAAAATTCTCCTCCATTCATCGTAATGCTTAAACTCTTCTGCATTTCAAGTCTTGGTTTCTAGGGATTTGATTGGTTTCAGGATTTCATCATGAGCTGACACTAGTTAAAGAACCATTGGAAAACCAGCTGGGAGTACTGGACAGCTGTTTCGTCCTAGTCTGGGACTCTTCAGCAGAACGCACCCACCGGGATTTAAACCCAGGACCTTCCGGTTGCAAGGCGAGCTTGTATACCATTAAGCCACTGGGACCCGATCCATTGGTCTTTGAATTCTAACTTCTGCCAATTCACGACATAGCGCGACCGCTAGCCAATGTCTTCGGTGGCGAGTATTTGTCCTCACACCCGACCAGCTGCACCCTACTGGTCACGACTTCGCACTGGAACCCATTTTTTGCATTTTTTAAAATGTTTTAATCATCGAAATTTACCCACTGATCACTAATTAGATGAACTCAGGCTAAAATCCATTGGCGTTCAGAGAAATGCTGTCCACTACTTGAAGGGTATGAAGATGAAACTTCATGGATCTTCCACCGTTCAGAAAGTGATTTACTATAGATTCTCATTTAACTTCTAAATCCTGTACGAATAGGATATATTTTGGAACTGAATATGCTGAGAATTTCGGTGTAACGTATTTCCATATTCTTTGAAATTAAGCTTCATTATTGTTATTGTTATCTAAGACGCTTTCAAAATTATTGATTAACTGAAGTTTAATTACAGACGTTTTTGTCTAACTGATTAGTTCATATCTTCCACTGTGACAGCGTTTATTTCCTTTGAATTATGTTCCTGAAAATTTAAACAGTAATAACAAGATTAATATAAAAGACATGCACCTGTTTTGATGTATTACCACATATAGGTATACTTGTCTACA